AAGATGTAACCAGTTTATACGCTTATTTTATTTGTATATTTCACACCTTATTTATTAAAATACTAATAGCTTAAATACCACGAGTTCTAGTCATTAAAAAAAAAAAAACAAAGTACTGAGACGTCATCTCAGTACTTTGTTTTTTTTTATAATTACGTGGAGGACAAAAACCTGTTGCGCCGACCCTACTGCAGTAGGATAAGGGGGTTTGTGATGAAAGAAAAGTAGTAATTAAATAAACCTAACCCCCTATCCTTTGCATGATGATATATCATTTTTAAATAATCAAATATTTGCCGATTGGATAGATTATTGCGTTCGGTCGTTAACCCCTTAAATTAAAAATCTAACCGTAATCAAAGTTTATGAAAAAAAACGGTTCATCATTATGTGCAGTACATATCGAATGAGCATATGGGATTTATCTAACATTAAACCGCAATCCCGGACCGTGAATGTTTTATTAATGCGGTTTTAATTTAATAGCGGTTTAAAGTATAACGTGACGTGACGCGTTACGTTCCAACACGGTAACCGATTCAACACGCTCTACATTATCCAACGACAGTTGTGTAGTATTATCGAATACATATGCAATAAACATAACAGTAAATGAGTCTTAAAAGACAGAAATTTTTGGGATAAACGAGGGATCGAAAGAATAAAACCATCAACGCAAATTATAGTAACGAAAACGTGCTATGTAAAAAACAACAGTTTTTTATTTAAACGTTCAAATACACGTGACCAAATTTTCACGGTTAAAAAGCCTACAGCTGCGATTAAAAACAGCTTTTTATCACGATTCTCTATCGAATAAATCAACCTACCAATCAACTATCCTACACATATTATTTACGTTTTTTTAAACATAAAGGCTTGTCCCACCAAATTGTAATTGTCTGATAACAATCCAACGTGTAAAATATGCGGCGGAAATATCGCATTTTGTTATGTGACAGTGACGTCATTTTTAAGCTATCTGGGCCTCTATCAGCCAATGGTGGGAAAGGCCCTAAGCGAAATGAAAATATGTTTTACAGGTCGACATCGAAACCCCATATTAAACAGTTACACATTGTATAAATACTTTGGCTGTTCAACATTCTTAATCACATCTGTTCAGTAACATCTTGCTAACCTTGATTAATAACGAACTATTACAAATATGGTTTGTCGAGAAACATGTTCTAGTAATAAAGAAAATGTAACAAGTAGTTGTACTTGGATATTGGCACAAAACATATATTAATCTTTCACTGATAATGTAAGATCTTAAGACGTAAAATAATTACGTGATACTACAAAAAAACAGACATAACAGTCCAGAGATCACTCCCTTCTGTCCTCCAGTAATTGCATGGCTATTTCTTGGAATATCAGGCTCTAAATAAACCTGTTTATCGCAAACATTATTTTAAGACTTCAATTTCTAACAACTAAATGATGACCAGTGAACCTTTTAACAAATACCTCGAAATAATTTAATGACGACCTCACGAAGATCAGCTCAGTTTATAAACGTGACAATTATTAGTTTGGCACGACAGGGTAGGACAGCACATATGAATGGCATTAAAATAAGATTTGAATAACAAAGATGACTGTCAACCCATTCAACATGGAAGTCTTTCGTGGAAACCATCGTAACTATGTTTTATACTCCACTAGCTGTCGCTCGCAACTCTGTCCGCATGGAATTAAAAAAAAAAACAAAAGCCTATGTGTTCTTCGAGACTATCCTCTATATCTATGCCAAATTTCATCGAAATCCGTTCAGCCGTTTAGGCTACAAACTCTAACAAACAAACATCCATCCATCTAAACATTCGCATTTATAATATTATTATGATGAAGTATGATTTAATTCAAGTGCTTCAACGTTCACAGCTAATAATAAATTTCTTTATCATGGATCAGTTTTAGCTATTTTTAATAATATAAAAACATAACGCGATTGGATTCACAAACCACCAGCATCTCGTGTCCGCCAACCTTTATGAATAATGAATTCCAACACTGGCGCCAAACCGAAACCACCGACATCAATTAATGATGTATTAATTAAACAGAACAGCGGTGTCTCATAGATTAATTTTAATATTAATAACAAAAATAAACTTCATTGAGATCAAACAACAAGTACCTATTTACATCCTAAAGAATTAGCCATTATTCACTTATCTAGCATTATCGCTACATTCTGGTTAAACTCGCTGTTTAAACACAACAAAAAAACCTTTATTACTTCGCTATGCTATTTTTTCAACTAACCAAAAACAAATAATTATACTTTTTGTTATTTTAAAAAAACTCAAAAATTCTTTGACGCCGAAACAGCGCGGTAATTAAATCAGTTAAACGCATACCTATCGAGATACCTAACCATATTTAAAAGCGGTAAGAAAAACTTCACGACTAACTGGTTTGCTAAAAAGGCCGTGCTATAGGCGGCGATCATAGATAAAAAAATGCGTGCAGTATCAACTTAGAAGCCAGTATACAGATACAGATACAGATATGTCAACCATATTATAAAACCACAACAATATTTTACCAATCCGGTAATAATAACGAAGTAACGGCTCTTGCCGAGGCTCCTGAGGGAGCCCTCTTGCTTAATTACTCTCTTAATCTGTTCTCGGCCACCTCAAGCCCGGTGAATCTGTAAATGTCTCTTCAAGGCAAACAGGGGACATTCAATCAAAAAAAAATTTTTTTTTTCCTTAAAAGTATTTTAGGAAATACATATTTATGGACTACCTAACACCAAATAATACGGAATCGCGGCGTCGTGTGGCTACAAATTGACAAATATAGCAATAAACTGTCGCGTCGTCCGGATTTCCACTAATAAAATCACGATATTTAAATATTATTAGCTACATTGAACTCTGCCACTATCCCACGCATAGATCCAACTAGAAATATGACATTAATCAGATTCACTACCATATCTGCCGAATCCGTAACAGTAACATTCCTATATAAATTTTGGCGCCAACATTCTTGACAGGTTGAAATTCCGTTTTGTTGCTAAGACATTAAAGTCCTTATTTGGTTGTTGTATCATTTCTTTTTGATATATTGTAACATGTTTATTTCATGGTATAATGAACTCTGTTACGTTTGTTTAGAGTTGAATCTCCTTGAATATAAGGTTGATATTGTTTTTAGCGGGTTTTCCGCGACCGGCCGGCGTCGCAGCCGCGCGGCCCGCGTGGAATGCGGAGATGACCGCTCTTTTCGGCACATTTTGCCTTACTGATTAGCATACGGTCGCACTAAATCGAGAAAAACATCTGGCATAGGTGGCGAGATAAAAGCTAATTTGCGAATGAAATTTTGAATAATTCAAGAATACAAAAACAAAAATTCAACGGAATAATTAATCGTTAACATATAACACTAGCTGTTGCCCGGGACTTCGTCCACGCAATATTAAGATAAAAAGTAGCCTATACTATTCTCGTCTATGTCAGCTACCCTTATTCGGGTGGTGGAAAAACTAACGTAGATGCCACGGCCCGGTGGGTAGTCCGGCCGGAATGTAAGGCCGGGAGTCCTACACGAGACCTGCACGAGACGAGTGCGTAAGTGCATTACCCGCGAGAACAAAAAAAATGTCAAATACCCTTTAGTCAAAGTCCCGTCGAAATCGGCCCATTAGTTTCGGAGATTGCCTGGAACTAACGCGGCTTGCGGTCAGACAATAGTTTTTAAAATGCGATTTTTGTTATCAGCAACGCAAATACATAATCTCCCTGAAATCTGGATATTTTCTTTTGATATCACAGACACTATAATTTTATTATATGTATGTATAGATAACATTTAAATCTAGTATAAATTATTTTGTTTAATTTACTGAAATATCAACTTATGACGATAGCTCGCCTAGGTTAAAATTAAGTTACATTACAAGCTCTCTATTTTATACTCTAGGATTTATATTAATAAACCAGGTTTATAATTGTCTAGGTACAACAAAAAGGATGTAGTAA